TTGAGGAACTCGCGCGCACTGGAATGGGGGTCAATCATAAATCGTGTCAAAAGTTATTTAAAGAGTTTCGATCTTCGCAAAATCTATTAATTTGTCTCTTTTTTAGATTTCATAATTCCAGCTGATTAAAGTACCTCCAAAATCATAAAATGTTGAACTCAGCACTAAACCATCAAATTGTCTATCTATGGAATTTTAATCAGGAAGATTTCGATACATTTTGTTAAGCGGAATTATAGCTTTTAAAGCTCAATGGTTATTGATTTTTGACTGCCGCAAAATTCAATCAAAATGAGTAGATACTCAACACATGAATATGCATATATCTTGCAAATAAGAGCTCGTGAAGATAAGCACTACAACTGATTATACATATTTGACTAAGCACAACTTGAGCAATCGATTAATCCTTGAAAAGCGATACTTAAAATGGAATTAAAAGTTCAAAAAAAATATTTTAGATGTGTGAAGTTTAACTAGGTTTTTGTGGAAGTTAATGATTGGTGCTGATTATGATTATGCTGGTCAACTGCGCACTTTTGAGCGAAACAATCCTGCTTTTTTGAAAATAGTCTGGCCTAAAATCTTTTATGTCCCGCTTTTTTTAACCTATTTTTTGGAAAATGCTTGAAAATTTAGCCTGTCAAACCTTTTTAAAGCTGAATCGGAACATGTTCCTCTTTTTGACAAAAAATCGGCTTAAACCATTGGACAGCCTAATTAAGAATCAAGTTTGAAATAGTAAGGTTAAGCGCGAGAATTATTGCATCGACAATTACAGACTTTTTGGCTTCTTTCAATTTGCTAGAGAACAAGACTGAATTGCTTCTAATTCAGCACATTGCAAGGAATCTTTCTAACAATTAAAGTTAAAAGGTTTCAAACTTAAACATTTTGTTTGATAGCTTATCTCCCCTCCCTAATCCAGAGACTAAGTCCCGAGCGGCACAAGGTGGCAGGTGTCAGTCATATGACTGTTATATGATCGTTTTCAAATGGCAGATAACAGTTATATGGCGGTTATTTGATAGCAATTATATGACAATTTTATGAAACTGTCATATGACTGCCATATGACTGCCATGAGAAAAAATTAATTACAGTTACCATTGTTTTTTGAAAAATTATGAAAACCATTCATTTGAAATTGTGATTTTGAAGTGAAAAGTTCATTTTGTTGTTACTCTTTCAATTTTTAATTAAACTTTGTACGCAATTGTTGACGGATCAGACAGAATAAATGTCATTCCTGAAAAGTGAATGAGGGAGATTAAATTGTGGAAATAGTTTATCCACGAAGGAATGGTTCGAAAGATCCTTTAAAAACTGTCAAGAAACAAAAGGATCCACAGGACAATTGGGGAAAAAATGTAGTCACCGCATTGAAAAAAGGAATCGGTATGTTATGTATAGTTTTTTTTTTAAATTCTAAAAGGCTTAGTAAATTTTAATTTCTTTTAGAATCTTTTGAAGCAGCCATTAAATCGATGCAAACCCGACAGAAGTATTCAAACACAGAATCTGAGCTAGAAACATTTAACAATAAAATATTATTTTAAAAGTTCAAAAATAAACACAAAATTTAAACCCCTAATATTTTGTAATTTTTTAAAATTGATTTAATTTATATTTCAGCCTATAAAATTGTCATATAATTGATATAAAATTGCCATAAAATTGCCATCTCATTGCCATATAATTGCCATATAACTGAAATTTGATAAAAGTACTGCCACCTGTGCCTGTCATAAAACTGCCTAGAAACTGTCATATAACAGTTTCCGTTTTGTGTCAATTTTTATTGATGGCAGTCATATGGCAGTCATATGGATTACTTTATCATACTATTTGGTTGACATATCGTCAACATCGATAGCAATTATCTGTCATATGACTGCCATAAAGCAGTTTTTATTGCCATCAAACGATGTCAATTGACGCGTGGCAGCTGACATATGGCAGTCATATGACAGTTATATGACACCTTTGTGCCGCTCGGGAGTTTACTGACTTTTAATTATTTTTCTATAGATTGTCATTTGAATGCAAGAATCGTCAACACCAACCAATGAATACTATCCTCAAATCGACAGCAGAAAATATATTCTAATCTCTAAGAAATCTGCAAACTCATCCTCAAATTTCATCTTTGATTCTCTCAAAACTAATCTTAATCTGCAAAGTATAAAGTTGCATCTTAGACATATAATCAAACATCCGATCACCAAAAATGGCCACTGTAAATGATTTATCAACTAATCTTCACCTCATATAAGCAGATAATAATAAAAAAAATTGACATAATCTACAAAAAATGTCCACAGCCATCAAGAATCTCGCGATCAAAAGATGAGTCACTTTTTGACCGTATAAAATTCATCTTTATTACACAATGAAATTTTTTCATCTTCATCCATTATTTTGTGTTCGAATTAACGGTGAATTAAATTTTTTTGTGTTTCTCTTCCTAATTCTTTCCCGTACTTTCAAGTGAAAATAATAAAAATAAAAAATCAAGAAAATTGTTTGTCGAAGACTTCAAGACTCACATGTTATTATCGTAAAGATTAATAATAATGTTAAATTTACCGACAAAATGCTTCATCTCAATCGACATGATCGTCGTCTTTTGTTTTTTGTCGATTGAACATATAAAATCAAGCACAAAATGTATGACAATGATGAAATAATTGAACATAAATTATCCCATTTGCGACCTCATTGTCAAATGTATGATCTACAAGAAAAAACGAAGTCCGAAGAAGTCTCAAATCTCAACGGAGACACACAGAGCAGCGAATGTCGATTACAAGAAGATCAAGTCCAAAAGCACGAGTGAAACACCCGCTTCATTATGATTCGTTGAGTCAAAATATATTCCCACTCTCGTTTTAGGTACATAAGAAGTCAGCAATAGAAAATTATGATTGTGTTATTGTCCGCTACAATACATGAAAAAGATCGTTGAGCAATGTTGAGCAGGCATTAAAAACATTCAATCACACATATTCATGTAAAAGGCGATGAGAACACACGAGAAACGAAGGAAGAAGTTGAATTGAAAGAAGAAAAAAAAATAAAGTCAGCACAGAGAGACACAAAAAAAAGTATCCGTAAACAGTAAACAGGTTAATTCGAATATATTGTGTATTGATGTTGTGATCTACTCAACCGTTCAGTTGTGATTCAATACTCTCAGCGAGCTAAACGTTTTTACCTTAAGCTCCTGCGCGATACTCGCGAACATTTGGAAGAAAAAAAAATATTTTTTTATTTATTTTTTTTCTGTGAAAAGAGAAAAATTTTATCGAGTTGAAAAAAAAGAGAAGAAAAAAAATTTTCAAGGAGAATAAAAATTTGAATTGAATTTGTGGATTGAATTACTTTTTGTGATTGATAAGAAATATTTATGAACTGGACAAATTTTTGGGAATTTTTTTAAAATTCTTGAATTGTGTGAAAAAAAATTGGAAACTTTTTTATTTGAAAAAATTAAAATTGATAAGAAAATTTGCGGTAAAATACTTAAAATAATTTTTGAATTAATTCAAATTTTATGTGTGAACAGTTTTTGTGAAAACTAAAAAATAAACATTTAAAGATTTAAATTCAATTAAAACTTTGAAATTCAAATTTAAAAAAAAAATCTAATTTAAAATTTTAAAAACTATAAAAAATAAAAAAACTCAAATCTTGTATTTACAACTTAAATTAAGAATCTGAATTCAAAAGATTCAATAAATAATTAAATAAACCATCGCTAAGTTGATAATCGATAAATTGATAAGGATAATTAGTGAAACATTTAATTAGAACTAAGAATCTTTAAAATCAGTGATTCTATAAAATTTAATTATTGACGAAAATTGAGAATTTTAAAAAAATCTGATAAGAAACTTAGTCAAAAAAACACAAAAAATTTAAAAATTCCAAATATAAATTGTGCAAATCTCAACCGAGTGATAACCCAGCATAAAGTTCAACATTGAAAACCAGGAAATCATCAAAAATTGAAAAAATTCAAAGAACACATTGAAAAAAAATCTTCAAAAAAGTTCATCGATTCCAACTTTCAAGAATCAAAAAAACCTTTTTCATTAAAATCCAATCTTATTCAAAAATATTCAACATCAGAGAAAGAAACAAAAAACTTAATCCCCATATCGATAAGAAGCAGCACCATCAACTTAACTTAAGAATCGTGTGTGATATTCAATTTACAGCAAAGAAATAAACGCGATAAAAAATCATTTCTGTCCAACACTAAACGACGACGGTGTCAGAGTGTCATAACACTAAAAATCGTGTCAATTTTCATAATTTTATCATTTCGCAGTCGCATAAAAATCAGATTTAGGAAGAAACTGAGAAAAGATTGTAGATTTAAAAAAAATATTCAATTTGTCGTGTGTGTATGCCTGTTCGAATTCACAGTGGACAAGACACAAAAAAAAACAAGAAATTGACAGAGAAATATTGATGCGTATATTGCAAGCTGATATCGAGCTGACAGTCTGCGAGATAATAAGAAGAAGTCAAAGCTGATAGTTCGAAATATCATCCAAAAATGGAAATTTGATTTGATTTTTTATGTATTTGTATTTTTTTTTGGTAAGGAACAGCCTCAAAAACGACTTAACAAATTGGATAAATATACATTAGCACATAACTAAACGAATGGATTAGATGATGATGACGATGATGATCAAATATTTGGAATAAAAATGAATTATTGATTATCACGAGACATTCGTTGTGTGTATAAGGATTTATGAGATACTTGTTGGATCTGCTCTTTTCCATCCCAAATGTGATTTAATGATGAGATTATTTATGAGTTTCAATCATTGGCGGAGATTGGACTGTAAAAGACATTAATTTGACTGTGTTGTGACATTTTTTTTTGAAAGCTTCAAGGAATCTTCATCATTTAGTTCTTAAAATTGGACATCCCGCTCGTGATTCAGATATAATAAATTGAGAATCTTAATATTTCACGTGAATCAGATCAATATAAAAGAAATTCCAAATAACTCAACAAGTGACTCATAACTTAATTTGTGAAGTGACTTGAAAAAACAGAATCAAGAAGAAGAAAAGACAAATTGTGTGTGGATCATGGATAATCTTTGAATGGAACCAGAAAGAAATATAAGTTTATTGTGTGAAAAGAATTTAGTGACACAAAAGTTCGAGAAATAGGGAAACTTACGTCATAATTTAAATATTGTCGACATTTTGGCTGAAACATTTTTATTGTCGGACATTCCTTAGCAATAAAACAACTTTGCGGCATCTAGGTAGGTGATCTAATAATTTTAGTTGATCACAATTTATGTGAAATGGCAACTCCTTATATCTCTCTTATTTTTCGCAAACGACCGCAGTTATTGAGATGTCTGAGAAGGTCTTAATGTGACGATTTTCGATGCGAATAAATTATTTACAAATTGGGAATATAAAAAACATGAAAATGATATTAATCGTGATAAAAATGAGCGAATTATGAGCTGAAATATTTCGAATTTTAATGATTTAATAAACAAGGTTGGGATTTGAGCTCAGCTTCTAATGGGATTGTAGACTAGATGAAAGATAATCCGTTGCATCTTATTTAGCTTTGCTGTTCAATAAAATATGATTGGGACACGAAATATTATCTATTAGGTGTGATAAAAGAAAATGTGTTGAAATTTTCGTTTTTGAAAAAAGAAGAATTTTTGAGGAGAAAATCAGGCACGTTTTGTTTTGATTAGCTTTGTTCACTTTAATCAAATTTCTTCGTTAATTATTTTAAAATTTATTTAAAATTATTTAAATTTAAATTCCACGTGTTTTGCGATTTATTGCATTCAAATTTTGAATTTTTTTCATAGTTTCATGCATTCTTAAGTTAAAGTAATTTGTAGAATTTTTCCAAACCAGTTTCGTAGGTGAAAAATGGATAAACATTATAATTTAGTAGTTTTTATTACTCTCGTGTACTTAAATGCAATTAAGTTCTTGAACTTGCGTGATTCAAGTTCAAATTAAATTAAATAAAATGTTATTTAAAATTCATATAGGGATTGAAGCTAGATTAATAATCAAATCTACTTTTTTGGAGGTCTAATGTCAAAACTCAGGCTCATTATAGATAATTCTAATTAATTTCAATTTGAACTTTTTTGGCTTAGAAATTTAAAAATAAATAAAATTTGGCATTAAAATTTTAACAAAATTGAATTTTTGTTTAAGAATTAAAATGTTAAATTTTTAAAAATATTGAAAATATTGCCCAGTTTTTTAAAATTTTGAGAGTTTAAAAATTAAGATTTTAAAATTTGAAGTTTAAAAAATTAAGATTTTAAGTTTAATTTATATTTGTAAACAAGCTTTAAAATTTAAATTTTGAAAATTCAATTCTTGCATTTAAATAATATTGAAAACACAACATCTAGCAGCTAACGGCACATTTAGGACTGTATCTCATTTTTCAATTTTCATTTAAGACTTTACTTAAAGCTTCTTTCACTTAAAACTTTAACAATTGTTCATAACCTCCATAAACATGACAAACATATGATCTTACAAAATAATGATTATGCAACTTCCAACAAGCTTTCATTCTTTATTGGCAGTCTTTTCTGAATTTAAAAATCCTCTGTCTGGGAGACTCAGTTGCTTCATTTTTTAAACAGTCTATAAAGTTACAAAATATCCTTATTCACTGCCATGTACGGTAATAAACTTGCGTACATAAATAAATGTTAACAAGCAGAATTTTAAGTAGGAAAATTGACAAAATTTTATTTTTAGAAGTTTTCTGTCATTTTGTTGGCTATTGAATTTATTTCAAGCTTTATCAAGATTGATGGATTAATACAATGAATAGGTAATTTTGATGGCTCAATTCAAAACTGTTTGATTTAATTTTTTTGGACTATTTAAATGAAAATGTTAAAATTTCCAATCATGTCATGATTTTGGGTATTCAATATTCATGCTTGGAAGCTTATAAAGTATATCATTTAATTTCAGAAGTCTATTCAATGACAAGTTGTGTTATTTTGTATTTTTCCATATTATTTGGGATTTCTGCTCCTCATCTTCATAACAATCAGAATCATTTGGGTTTTTCTGATCTAATCATGGTTCAACAATCCTCAATTGTTAATTCTTGACCCTTTCTCAGTCAAATTAAATTCAATCCGAATTCCTCAACTCTCAAAATGTCACAAATAATCACAAACATCAGCTTCAACCGCTTCAAAAGCAATTAACACTAATAACAACTTACAACACCAATTAAATGATGAACATTCAAATTATTTATCGTATAAGCCTCAAAAGAGCTTAATACTTTAATCCACAATAAATTAATTGTTTCACTTCAAACAAAAAATTAATTTAATCCCCTTGAAGATCTTCAATCTTTTCGCCGTGCCTCAAAAAAAAACATAATCAAGTTCATCCAAAAAACAAAAAATTATAATCTTTATAGTCTAGCCTAGGCTAAGTGACTGACTGAATTGCGCATGTTGAATTCACAAGTAGCATATCCAGTTGTTGTATGAACAATTGAAATAAATTAAATGAACATTAAAAATCTCCTGGAAAGCGCCACACATCTCATTCCTCGGGTCCGTATTTATATTCATAGAGAGAGCAACATCCAACAATAATAATTTTTCTCTCCTTATTGCTACTTGAATTCTATTCTACTTTACGTGAATGATGACTATGGCAAGTCATTAAAGTCACTGTGGTATGTGGCGGAATGGCTTCAAAAGGCATTTCAATCGGAGGTTTGAAATTTATGAAAATTGTGGATCTCAAAATGATCTCAATGATAAATGACGTTGTGATTAATTTTTGTGTGCGAACAATTCATAAATTGCACATAACTTGGGTGTAGAGCCGTGTAGAGGAGGAAGAAAAAGTTATGGGCTCAAAAAAGAAAAAGGATTGGTTGGAGAAGTTAATGGGATTTGTGGTTAGAGGCGCTTTATTGTTTAAGGTATTAATTTTGGTTTGGGGTTTTGGGATGGTTCTTGGGTTTGTTCTGAATTCTGGTTTGTATTAATTGCGGATTAGTCTTAGTAATGAAAATAATGGCTGTAATGATATTGTGATGGCACAATGAGCGAATCCAAGATTTTTGTAAAGACAGAAAAAATGAGGAAGTTTGAGCTCGAACCTTTGGGTACACCCCTTGAAGGGAAACTAGGTATATGACAAAATTCTTAGAGTCCAATTCATGTAAGGTTCAACGTTAAAAAGCGTTAAAGCTCAATATATTGTTTGGATCCAACTTTAAAAAGTCACATTTGGAGGATATCTGATGCACAATGTCCTAATTATGGATTTTGTATCAAATCTAGCTGAATATATTTTGAGGATTTGTTCAAGTAAGCTTTAGATCCAAACATCAGTTGCAGACTAGGCTATCTAATCAAGCAATTGCATTAAACGAAGTCACCTGTCGATGTTCGATTCCTTAGAATTAAAAATTGTCTCATCTAAGTTAAAAAGTCTTTTATTTACTAGGATTCAAACTTAATTCTTGTACTTGTGACTTTATACCACCCATAATGACCCCTCAAATCCAGCACTCAATCCTAATAATCCTGCTTCATAAAACAAAAAAAAATCAGCATTTTCTACCGCGCACAAAAAATATCATTTCTCAAAATTGCATTACATGGAAAGTAAAAAGATGCATATCTTACCTTACGGGTGCCAATTCACAATTCCTTTTCTCTCTCGGCACATTTTAATTACCTTTTCAGACATCAAATTAGCCGCGAAACAAATTTTTAATTTATGTACCCGCGCTGGCAAAAAAAAGAGATATGAAAAATTGGAGTCAGAATGCGCATGCAACATGTGTGTAGATGTGTAAATGTACCAAATAACAATTGCATTTACTGTCAATTCATTTCATAATTTGAATCACTTTTTAATTCTTTCGTTTTTTTTTCTTTCCTCGTTTTCAGAGTCAGCACACACAAACAAAAAAAAGACAGACGCAACGTTGAGTAAGAAGAAGAAAATTGGCAGAAGCACAAGGAAACAAACGACGATAATAAAAAAATGAACCAGCAGTGTAAAGTGTGTGGGGAGCCTGCTGCGGGATTTCATTTTGGCGCATTTACCTGTGAAGGATGCAAAGTAAGTGTTTTTAATATCAGCAACAACTATAATTTAAGTGCTATTTAATATCGTCCGATATTTATTGGGGAAATTTCATTTGCTCATTCCTTTGTGCTGCTCAGTGAATTAAAACGAGTAAAAATAAATAAAAAGACACCCAAAAAAATAAGCATCACGGCGGTTATTTCAATTTTTATGTGTGATGCCTTTAATTCAACCGGTCACACACAAAGAGGAGACATTTTTTATGATGGTAATTTGTGCAGGCTGTGAATCTTAATTCTTCTTCTTCTTCTTCTTTGATATTTTTTTATTAACATTATTTAGACTTTATTAGCACATGACTGGATGAGCTTGATGCTAAATTAGTGGCTCTTTGTCAAATGGATTTTCAAAAGACATTAAGTGATTTGGATTTAGATTTTTCTGTTGCTTGGTGGTTACAAAAGATTAGTTCGTAAAGGTGACTATTAAGGATAAGCTCAAATTTTGAAGGCTTAGAACTATTTATCGGCATTAAATCCTTTACATTATGTTCCAAATAGTCACGTGAAAGATCCACATCATTTATGAATGTCCCAAACAATATTGGATTAGTTTCTACTGATTTGGTACTTTTATTAGTGAATCTTACCCTGATAAGCAAAATCATAAGGGGTCGTTCACTTATGACGTCCAAATTAACGGTTATTTTTCAAAATAAAAAAAAATGATTTCCAAGAATTTCCCCTCTGGACATCATAAGAAGGCAGATAAGCTTTGTTGAGATATTTAATAATTCGCATGATATCGTCTACTTTATCAATTATACTCAATTTAAAATCAACAGTCAAATCCAAGAAACTATGCTTGCATAACCTCAAAAATTACAAAAAATGCATCATACTTAGCCAAAACTTAGTGAAAAATGTCAGAAATGCGCTTTAAACTTCCAAGTTAAAAATTCCAACTTGCAACCACCCAAAAAAAACCATTCCGATAATTTGTTTCTGGACATGAGCATTCGGAATGAAAATTGAATTTTTAAAGCCCCATAAAGATTGCCCATAAATACGATTAAAAAATTCACATTCTTATCAACTGCATAATTCTTCGATACTTAAGCCACTCTACATAATATTTATAATGCCTCCTCCCGTTCATACTCATCTCAACAATCTCTTAATGGGCTCATTGCATAGCTGGAAACTTTCATAATTAATAAATAATAACCAGTAATGCACCCCAGCCGTGTACGTAAGCGACTTTTCAAAGCTATATCATCTGATTTTATTGCACCTAAATACGAATTATTTTGATCATATAGATCAATTGTAAATGCTCGTGCGAGCACACACAGTAGATATTAACAATATTAATAAATTTCTCTCCTTTATAAATATCGATGTTAATCCGCGATTTAAAAAATGGCAATTAAATATTATAAACTTCTCCTTTTTGCGTGCTATTTCATGGCGATAGCTGGGATTTACATGAAAATTGATGTTGATTTTAGGTAGTTGACCAGATTGCTGCTCTGTCCATGCACAAAAGGCTATGTAGATTAAACGATTTTGTAATACTGTCTTGGGTTACGATTATTATGTAAATCACGTCCTTCAGAATTTATAAAGTCAATAGTTTTGCGTTAATTAATTCTATAATCAGCTTTGGGGTTTAGGAATTTAGGTTATGTTGATCTTGTTGCCTTGAAATTTAAGTGTGATTTGTTTTATTTGATTTACATTTTAAAAGACTTAAAGACATAGTAATGACTTAATATGTCCTTAATGATATTATTGGGGATGCATGAGGGGAGGGAAAGAGCGGGGGGTGGGGGTTTAAAGTAATTTCTGAAGAAAAATCTTAAATTGATCTCTAACCTCAAGTTGGGGGTCAACTTATTCCTCCCTTTATTTTTAAACAATATCCAGCTCAACTTTGAAACCAGTTACCAGCAGGGGCGTCTCCAGGATTTTTTAAGGGGGCCCAAAAAATTTTTATTGTCAAAAATCAGTAAAACCTTCTCTATTTGATTACTAAAAGCTAAATTTATTGTCTTTGCTTTAAAATCCACCCAAGGACCCCCTCCCCCTGGCTACGTCCTTGGGTATCAGGATACCGATTTAAGGGTCTCACCCTAGCTTCTATACTTTTCCTGGTGCTAAATTCACCTTGGCCAATAATCCTGTCATTTAATGTGATAACTTATAAGGCTCAAATCCCTAAAATTATCAAGCTATCAACAGCAACTATTAAATGCGCTTCCTCAAACAGCAGTTCACCTCAACTCGCAATAAAACAAATAAGACACCGATAAAGTATGAAGAAAAGTTTTCTCGCCATCTCGTTTTTCATATTTTTATTATCTTCCTGATCAAAAAGACTCATACGTGTTGCCATAATGGAAAATTATAGTGTAGATTGTAGTTTAAATTAAATTCGCTTAATTATTTCTTTTTATGTCATAATTTTATTGTGAATAAAATAATTAACATTTAGCGCTTGGGTTGAAATAATGAAGTAGGATAATAAATTATTGTATAAGCAATTCAGGCTCATCAATTTCTTTGAAGATGGCAATTGATGACAATTCGTTCCGTTACTTTTAACGTAATATATTTGTATATACCGCTTATTCTTTTAAATTGAGCTCAAGAATGACCAATCCTTTTGAGATATTCCATCAATTATCGATTATGTGTTAATGAGGATTACAAATAATAACTTTTCAATCGCCTTTTGTCGTCCATCCTCAATTGCCCTTCTTCTACGCCGTCGCTTAACTATTGTTATTATTATTAATTAGAATTGTTGTCCATCAAGCATGTCGGTACATTAAAGAATGCGTAGATGTAAAATACATTAGTAGTTGTTATCTAATTGGTGTGATATTGGAAATAATTGGATAGATTTTGAGGTTAGAGTGGTTTTGAAGCTTGTTCTTGTATGTTTTTTGGGGGGTTGGTCCAAAAATTATTCAAACTGAGCAATTAAAAGTAAAACGGAGCAAATTTAAGCAAAACTGAGCAAATGTAATCAAAACTGAAAAAATTTAAGCAAAACTGAGCAACTTTGAGCAAAACTGAGCAACTTTAAGCATAAAAGAGCAATGCTGAGCAAAACTGAGCAAATTAGATCAAAACTGGGCAGCTTTGAGCAAAACTGAGCAACTTTAAGTTAAATTAGTGAACTCAATGAACCAATCGAGTTAAAAATTAAAAATGCATGACTAATTAAGACTTTATTATACACAATAAAAGAGAAAACAGATCATAAGCTACCATACATTGTATGATACCCCACAAATCTTCAATAATCCATGAATAATTCCCTACTTTAACAAGACAATAGAATGACAAACAAACACCGTAAATCATATAATCGAATTCTGACTCACTTTATTCTTTCTCTTTACAGTCCTTTTTTGGTCGCTCATACAACAATCTATCATCAATATCGGAATGTAAAAACAATAGCGAGTGCGTAATCAACAAAAAGAACCGAACGGCATGTAAAGCATGTAGACTTAAAAAGTGTCTTATGGTTGGAATGTCAAAGAATGGATCTCGTTATGGACGCCGATCAAATTGGTTTAAGATTCATTGTTTATTACAAGAACAGCAGCAACAGCGTGAACAGCATCAGCAACAACATCAACAAAACGGTCATCCACCACAGCCGTACGATCTCAATTTCCTTAATCTTATGGATGATTACAGTAAAAATAATCACAATCGTGCATCCCTTTCGTCATCGTCACCATCAATCAGCTCACCCGATAGTCATAATTCTGATAGTAGTGTAGAAATTGGTGATAAGAAGAAGATGCACAATTCGATACACAAAATTCCACCAAAAATTCCCGCAATCAATCCATCGCCGCTACCATCACAATTAGCATCATTTTTCCAATTGATGCCGCCTCTAGGGCCTTTACCGTTACATCATTTAGTTGGATCACCCTTTACGAAATTGATGCCACCTCCACCTCTCGCATCATCAGCACACAATTTCCTTCCACCTTCACTTTTTTCATCGCCGTTTCACGATTCACTTCATCATTTGTATGCACAGCAGCAGAGCTTCTTATCGTCTGCAAATCTACCATCGCCTCTCGCTAATTTACCAAATAATAACAATAATAGTAGTAGTAACAACAACAATAACAAAGATAGTATCAACAACAATTTACTGCACAGCAATGGCAAGAGTGCAGATTTCTATCAAAAATATTATTTCAACAAAATTAATGGAAAGTTTCCAATGAATAATCACGACGACGATAATGAGAATGACGATGTGACACCATCAAATTCACCGACACTTAAAGTTGATGTTAATTCACCGTCATCGCCACACTCGACAGCATCCTCGAATTCGCCGATCATTTGCGATGACATCCAGAATAATCCGATTGATTTGAGCATGAAAAATGAGGATCTGCTTAATAACAATACAAATTAGTTAATTTACTCACTTACAAAATATTTTTTTTTGTTGAAAAAAGGTGTCAAGTAATAATGTCACCGATGGAATGTGACTAAAGCGCATTTTTGTCAGGGATGAGTTTATAGTTTGCTGTGTTTGATAGTATTTTGTAAATTAGCTGTAAATTTAGTTAAAATTTGATGATTTAAAGTTGATATGATCTAGTTTTTTGAAGATTTTTGTAAATTTTCTCCACCTCGAAAAGTAAATTGACAAAATGTTGAGGTTAATTTGATATTTTTGAAAAATTTTCGCTGAAAATTTCTTCAAAAAAGTGGCAAGGATGTAAAATAACAAAATTCATTATTACATCCATTGTAATTGGCAAATAATTAATGATTTACTAAAGAATTTCGAGGTTATGTCCAAATTAATATATGTAGTTCCAACATGGAAACATTCAGTTCAGGAATCTACAATTCGTACTTTAGATCATATCAGACAAATCATAGACATATTCTCATCATTTCCGTCAAAAGTACGTTAGAAAATCACTAAGACCCCGTGGATTTCAATGTGCCGAATGTGCCATTCCTAAACGTTTCTTGCTATTGCTGCCGTTGCTGTCGATTGATTATTTTTCATTACTTTTGAAAAAACCACACATTTAGCGGCATCGTGTTAATCATTAATGAGTTGTGCCTACAATATTTTCTTCATATTTTTTCGGATAAATATGAAAGACAAAAGACATGTTAAGTAGACACAGCTATAATGTACAACAGGTTTTTGTCTCAATGTTCAACTAATCGCAGCACGAATTGAATAGCAAAAAGCTATTGGCAAAAAATTAAATTAGTAGTGCACGCGTGCGCGGGATCCGAACACAAAATAAAGAAGATATAATTTGTACAACTTTAGTGTAATAATAATGAAACTTAATGGCATTACGCAAGTATTTTTATTTTTTATTGACTGTGGACGATAGATGGACAAAGACAACACATAATGCAGGTCTTTGTATCCACAACACATACAAAATCGTTTTATGACAAATATTTTTCGATTTTTGTGAATTATTACCCCGAATAAATGATTAGATTTAGTTGATAGATTGAATTACTAAATATGGCCAGTAGTTTGCAATCAAAAACGTTCCGTAGAGCATTTTTTGTCAAATGACAGAAACTCGATTTTATTTTTTATTTGTATTATATTCCTATATAAAAATAAATCTATTGCAATTATGTATTCTTTTGTTATTTAATCTTCTGAAAAAATTCGTTTGAGAAATAAAGTTGACATAATAAATTTGCCCGGATCAACGATGGCATTTTTGTCATTATTGAGCTCATTTTACAAAACGATTTGTTTGACTGTTTTTTTTTGTGTCGCAAAAAGAATCTTGATGGAAAAGATGATGGAATTGTAACTTGAGATAATTTTTTTTGGAGGATGCATAACGGTTTATAAGTTTTAAGCGCCATATTTTGTTCTTATATATTAAACGTCACTAAAATGATATCATAATGATTATGGTTTCTAGTTCCTATCAGATTCAATGTGGAATCAATGTCTTCTAGAACAATATCTGATAAAGGTAATTTATGGTTTGCTTGAGCAACTATCTACTGTGGATATGGCTCGAAGAGCATATCTGTAGTAGATAGACCTTAGCATAGGGCTCGCGTTGAACTAGTTATATGTGTATGACGGATAGCCAAAGTGTGATAAGTAACTCGGTGGCTGAGTGGCAGGGATCTCTAATCGAGTGGTCAGAGATCGTCTCTTTTGAGGTTGTGGGTTCGATTCCCATCAAATCTGACTTGATTTACATTAGTATACACATATGCCAGTTATAGGAAGATCTACATCTACCTACTTCTTGAACTAGGTTTACCTGAATAACACTTTAATCAAGACTTCAATTTGAGGTTTTGTTTGAAAATTGAAAGCAAATCATTAGATTTAATTTTGGGAGTTTTGCTAAGATCTTAGATCTCTATGATGTATCGACTAAGGTTTGATGCATCAAACTATACCAACCCTACGCTAAACTCGTTTCCAAAGATCCATACGCAGAAAATTAAACGTACTAAAAATCAAACAAAAATGTCCCCAAAATGACTAGTTTTAAGCTCGACAAAAAAAAATTCCTCACCATCATCTGAGGTCATCAACTTTAATCTCATCGAGAATTTACATATGAAACTGAACCGCCATACTTTTCATCAACACATTCACACAAAATTAAAATCAAATCTCCATTCTGTCAAAAGCCGATCCTTCAACGAAGACTTTTTGCGACACAAATTCAAAAATAAGTCGATAAATTAATTTTATTTAATGTCAAAAGTTAATCAAATCATATAATTTCTGTTAATTAAAAGAAGTCAAGAAAGCTTTTACTAAATTAAAGCTCAATGTGTGACTAGATACTAGATTATCAATATTCATAAAGTTTTTAGTGTTATTTAAATAATTAGATTATCAATATACACAAAAAAATCTTACTTTTAATAAGTTTGATAGAATTTGCATTATAAATATTAGCTAATAGATCTGCATAAAATTATTTAAATTAGTTAATTTTATAGACGATACAATTTGTAAGCTCAAAAGCGTTTAGAGAAAATAATTTCCTGAATAAACTTTAAGTTTGAAAAAAAAATCAGCAATAAATTATTTTAATTTCTTTTCAGCTTTTCCTCTTATAATCTTGTCCATTTCCGATCGACTCTAGTCCGATATGTTCACAGCTACTGATTAAAGCGTGTCGATCATTGTCACGTCGTCATCCGATTAGCCTCAATAAATAAATAAAAATTGGCTAGGATGGAAAAAAAGGCATTAACACTGCCCGCTAATTACTGATCATTTGGTGATGGCTTCATACGAAATAATCACGATAATAATGACATAATTTAGTCACCAACCATAAGAGAAAACCTGATTTATTCCTGGAGATAGATCATTAGCATTTTATGCATTGAACACACGTCGGACCGACGACGACGATGATGATGATGCACAGGTACAATAAATGCACGCTAATTTCGCTTCATCGAATCAGCAGTAGTGCATGGAGCTTCAAGGCTCCCGCTTCGACACATGTGGATAAATGTTTATTGTACATCTCATAAATCATCTCAATATTTGTTCACATCTAATGCGAGGATTAAATTAAATCGCTGCTCATTGCATGCTTTTTTTGTGCTGTGTTTTAAACTCGGGTAAATCCATAATTGGAAGATGTGACTTACTACTTTCGAATTGTTGACTATTTATGATGATTTTGATGGAGTTTGTTGAAGTTTCAGGTTTATGATGTGATTACTGGAAGTTTGAAGAGTTATTGACTAAGATCTGTTGCTTTTGAACTGTTTAATCAAGGTTTTCGAGGAATAAACCTTTAAATTGCTTAAAAATTCAAGTTTAGAGGAGCTATCGACTCAAAACAATATTAATATCCAACAATAAATCAACAATCCCATCGCAGCATCTAATTGTAACCGCGTAATATAGATGAAATGCATCATCATCTTCATGAATAGGACAATGTCGCAACTGCTATTTATCCATCCATTAATACAAGTGTCCAACACAAGCACACATACTTGATTATCTAATTAACAACGTTAAGTGTTAATCCATTAATAAACTCGACAATGGATAACAATCCTCAACAACCCTTGACTGCATTGAACTCAACTCATATTGCACATGCGATACAGCTCGAGATATTCGCAGTGAATTGCTTTTTATTACAAAGTTAATTAGAAATATTTATTTTGTATGCATCTTAATGGATATTCTCACATTTGCCATTTACATTTTGTTGACAGATATCAAATGAGATTCCAGATTTGCTCCAGCATCATCATTTGCGACGAATATCTGAAAAATTTATATTTTCTTTCCTCTTCTTGTTGATCTTCTCTCATATTGACTGCGATCGTACACAAAACATTGAAATGATGAAGTCACGCCTACTTTTAAGGCGTTAGCATCGAGCTCGATGTTAACACTGGAATGAGTTTGTTATGGATGTATTTATTTGAGGATTAATATATTTGTTGAAACTTGATATAGACGGTCATCAAAAATTGCTTATTTAATTAACATTTTTTATTACAAATGTATAAGCCACAGATTCATAACAAATTTTAATTACAGCAATTATTGTTCTTTCTATAATATTTTATAATGACTGACTGATCTGTTATGTTTAAGTATTAAGTTTTACTATTGATCTATTGAAAAATTATTGCATAGAGTCAGTAATCAGGTGTTGTAAAATTTAGTTTATTAACTTTGAGTGATCATTTTACTCGATGAATTGAAGCTTACACGAGGATTTTTGAATTTACAGTGAGGATTTATTCACAGATGACGTTCAATATTTTGGGATACATCAGGGGCTAAATCAATGAAAAACTGCATATTTGAAGGACCATTTTCTTAGTTATAGTCTCGTCATACTTGATTGATTAGCTAAGACAGTGCGCTTACTAGATGTATCCTGTGAAATCCAAACAAGGTTCATTCAATTCAGGTAATACGGTTTCAGACCTTTTCTAACCTTTAATGTTGAACGTTGAACGATATTTAAAATTTAAAACTATTAATTAAAGACATTCATATTGCCTTTCCCAATATTTTAAAACAATAATTTGACTTAAATTTAAGTTTTCAGACACATTCTAAGTTAAAGCATAAGTTTGACTTTCGATCAGAGTTGTCAGATAGGTACCTCACCAGAGCATCAGGTGCGTAGCCAGGGGATGGAATTGGGGGACAAATCCCCCTTCGTCTTGAGAAATCTCTTTATTTTGCTAGAGTTTTTATGAAAAACTCGAAAAAATCCCCCCTCCCCCTAAAAGTTTTTCATACAAAAAAAATTGTCCCCCCCCCTCTTCAAATTTTAGGCTGCAGAGCATGGTTGCTTTTGTCTTAGTCCAGGCAAAACCTACGTAGAGGCATGTCTAAGCAAAGGTATAAAATTGTTCAATCAAAAATAGGCACCGACATGAATCTAATATAGGTTTTACCTGGTCAAAGGCATATCTAAGATCTACGCAAAAAATGTTTCCTATTTCTAGGCAGTGCCTTTGGCTAGGTATTTTCTTTGAATTAAAATGACAACTCTGCTTTTTATAAAAAAAAAATGAATTCTAATTTATATCCTCAACTTTGGAGTCTAAGTCAAACCTAACCCAAATAACAAACCCTGTTCTAGTTTTTGTAAATTTTGAGCTAGTACAAATCATCTTTCATAAGTTTTTTCAAGTATAGCATCAGTAGACTTAAAGTTGTAAGCTAGTCTCTAGTAAATATTAAGGTTAGAATTTCAAATTTTATGAGGTTAGTATTTTGGAAGATATTAAGTTTAGGTAGAATAACAATAATAATTAGCATTATTGAAATCATTGTTTCCTGTAGTAATTTTGCAATATGCATTTTTTAATTCAAATATTTGTTCAGCATAAAAATATAATTTAGAAAAAAGAATCAGTCAAAAAGTAAAATAGAATGTATAGAGTAAGTTTAGAAGTGCAATAATAAGTATTATTTGCGTTAGCATTGAATTCAAAAGATATAAAATTAAATGGCTTTAAAAATTATAAAGTTAACAGCAATAGTTGTTTGATGGAGCAATTAACTCTAAAATCAATACAGCCGAACTATTGAAATTTCAATTTTTCTAATCTTCTAGGATTTAAGCAGTTACAGATGAGCTTTTTTAATAAATTCTTAAATAAGATTAAAAATAAATTCCAATATTATTATTATTCGTTGGATAACAAGATGCTCCAAAATTGTTCAGAAAGACAGAATAGACTATTTTGTTATTATGAACTTAGTTGAATATCAAAAAATTAAACAATTTTCATGTAAAATGAACAGCCGAACATTGTAACTTAAACAACATAAATATGCACAGCAAGGTACGAACCAAACTGCGATAACTCAAACAATTACACTTTAAAAAACATAAAGCATAAAAAACAAGGAATTATTTCGCTGTCTTTTTAGTCATAAATTCTCGTTTGAAGGTAGACTTTCTTCAAAACGACATCACCAGCAATATTCAAAGTATCGACAATTTTCGTAGCATTATCATCGCAACGGAACATGTATTTAGCAAATTCTTGATCATTAAGATGGATGTGATAGCAATCAAAGTCACATTCAATCACTAAATGGAATTCTCTTCCTGGACTTAAGTCTCTGCTCGATATATCAGTCCTTTCTTCCTTCATCCATTTTCCATTTTTCCAAGTATTGCGACAGATGATGTGCTTGCCTCCACCAAACCTTGGATTTACGTGCAAAGGGACAGCTGGAATGGGAAAGAAGTCAGCCATTAAAAATGTGAATATTAATGGATAAACCGTTAGACAGAAATTTGAGACCATTGGTTTAAAATTTGAATTTAAAATAACCGTTAGTTCAAATTTTGATCTTGACACTAGATTCAAATTTTATTTTATCGTTGTATGCAAGGGGTGAGGGCTCCTCAAAAAGTGCAAAAATTTATTGAAAAATGCAATAAAGTGCTTCAAAGTAGAATCAAATTGAGAAAAGTGCAACAAAGTAGAATGAAGTAGAGTAAAGTGCAATGAAGTACTGAAGGTGCAGGCATAGTAGACCAAAGTGCAGTCTTTTTTAAATTTTTTTTTATAGTTTTAATACTTGATTTAAAAAACTATTTGGGCCTAAAAACTGGAAATATATAATAAAAAATTTATGTTTTGAACATTTTTGAGTCTTTATAAGTTTTTTCTTTGAAAATGTTGAGCATTAAATTTGTATTAATATCATTAGTTCTCATCTAGTTTTATAATTTTGTTTGGAAAATGATTTATTTCACTGTGAAACATCTTTAAATTTGGGATAGTACTGCACACGATGTTTTTTGCTTTATTTCCTATGTACTTTGTTGCATATTACAAAACTTTTTTACGCTTTGTCATTGTCAGGGTGGGGGAGTTTTTTGCGATTTAAATCAAAATCTTAAATCAAATTGTGATTTTTGATTTAAATCTCACATAAAAATGATTTGAAAAATGATTTTTGATTTAAATCATTTTACCCAAGTGATTTATTTTTGATTTATGGTTTAAATCACATTGTATGGGGATTTTTTTGGGATTTTAAATCACTTGAAGGTGAAAATTTGTTAAGAATTTTTCAGATGATTATTACAAATCATTAATCATGATTCATGGATATCCTTTCTGATAATGGAAAAATGACAGCAACTATTGATTCCATGGTTTAGTTCATGAATTTTCATTTTCTGTGTCTTGTTGCTTAAGTATGCAGATGTTGCTATAGCTGTACATGATAAAGCATGAATGGATATAGCTCCATATGAGGAAGTAGTCACTTCCAGTCCTTTTATAGCGTTTTCTGATAAGTTTTCATTGTAAATACGAAGTCATTTAAAAATGAAGCACTATTTCTGAGCATTTTTAATCTTCAAGCACAAAAGGAACCGGTCGGTTCCTTAAAAAAAATTTTTGTTTCAGGATGTGATTCCTTGATTAAAAAGAAACAAAAAATTTTTCTTTTGAATGTAAAGGAACTGGGCAGTTTCAGTGTCTACTCATACCTCTGGCTAAGAAACACGAACGTATTCCTCCTTGACAATGAAAACTTATCAAAAAACGCTATAAAAGGACTGGAAGTGACTAGTTCTTCATATGGAGCTAGATCCATACATGCTTTATCATGTACAGCTATAGCAACATCTGCATACTTAAGCAACAAGACACAGAAAATGAAAATTCATGAACTAAACCATGGAATCAATGGTTGCTGTCATTTTTCCATTACCAGAAAGGATATCCATGAATCATAATTAATGATTTGTAATAATCATCTGAAAAATTCTTAACAAATTTTCACCTTCAAGTGATTTAAAATCCCAAAAAAAAATCCCCATAAAATGTGATTTCATCATGAAATCATGAAATCATAAATCAAAAATAAATCACTTGGGTAAAATGATTTAAATCAAAAATCATTTTTCAAATCATTGCAAAATGATTTTGATTTTGATTTATGATTTAAATCCCCACCCTGGTCATTGTAAACTGTAGATCGCAGCAGTTTTGTTGAATTTTAAAGTGTATTACTAAACTCCGTTTTAGAATAATTTACTTCATTGCTTTTTTTGAGAAATTTGTAAGCTCAGTCTTGAAAACAAAAATTTAAATATGATTGACCAGATCTAAATTTTATGGAACCTAATATACAATAAGCTCTTAAAAATTTGCTGAAAAGAACATTAAGTTCGAAAAGCAAAAAAAAAATATTCCGGTTATGAAAAGTCAAACAGAAAATTTCAAATTTAACTAGTGTATCGGGTAGAAACCCAATGCGGATATATTCACACCGTACCATCAAAAGTTTTATGTATAGACCAAGATTTGGTCTGCATAATTTTGAAGGTTTAAAGCTTAACGAATATGCCAAACATTCTTTAAAAAAAATTTAAAAAAAATTTCATCCAAAGTTCAATTTTATTAAAATCACATTAACCTTTTTCTGAAGCAATGGCAGTTCCTGCCATTCCCAAAAACTAATCAGTTCTTTTGTAGAAAGAAAATGAATTTTGCAATTTTCTCAACAATGCCTTAATCAATTTCAATTCTGATTTTTGATTTTTTTTTGGAAAATGCATTTTTTTTTCAAAAATCATATCCAGTGTTGCAAATGTAGATGTCTACACTAGATGAAGAATGTAGATTCTTCAATAGTTTTTGTCTAGCTAAGAAACTTTCTTCATAAAGATCGATTCTACATGAAGATAGAAAATCTAATCTACATAAAGATTATTTCTACATAAAGATTCTGTCTACAAAAAGATTCGATGTAGATGTCTACAATTCTACATTTTTTCCCGGTCTACATCAGAGAAGAATGTAGAATTGTAGACATCTACATCGAATATTTATGTAGACAGAATCTTTATGTAGAAATAATCTTTGTGTAGATTAGATTTTCTATCTTCATATAGAATCGATCTTTATGAAGAAATTTCTGTCTCAGAATTTATCTGATCCAGACAAATAGCCAGAATGCAACACTGATCATATCAAAAATGTGAAAGTCTTCTAATATTGCATTTATATCGAAATTTTTCCTTACGTTTTAAGATATTCATTAATAAGTGAATTAAAGTAGGTTTTTAACAGTTTTAGCATTTTTAATGCCTTACAAATTTAAATTTTGGATTTTTGAAGTTTTGCAATATTTTTAAAGACAAATTCATAATAATTAGTCATGTTTAATGGCTTTAATCTCTTTTCTTTTGAAAAATTAACATAAATAGATTAAAAATATTTATATTAGTATTATTAACTGAATAATTTGTGCAAAAAAGCACTGCAAAGTGCAATAAAGTAGAATAAAGTCGAGTAAAGTGCAACAAAGTAGAATGAAGTAGATAAAAGTGCAATGAAGTGCAATAAAATTTGCTATAGTATATCAAAGTAGAAGACGACGTCCGCATTAGACTGGCCAATGCAGCTTTTGGCTCATTACGACGTGTGTGGACCTCCCCCCGACTTTCGAGACGACTGAAGCTGAAGATCTTCAACTCGAACGTCAAGCCTGTACTCCTTTACGCATGCGAGACTTGGAAAGTTACAAAAGCTCTTACACAACGCATCCAAGTTTTCGTCAACAAATGTCTGAGAGCAATATGTGGCATCTACTTTCCTCAAACAATAAGGAACACAGAGCACAATGACTAAACAACAAATTATTGCAGACGAAGTTGGGAAAAGGAAATGGAACTGGATTGGCCATAAATTAAGGAAAGACCATACAGACATCGCGAGACAAGCGATTTTTGGGAATGTCCAAGGAAATAGGACTAGGGGCCGACGGAGAATTACTTGGCGTACAACTGTTGAACGGGAGGCGGAACAACAGAACAAGAAGCTGCAGGAAATAGCAGCTTTGGCCCAGAATCGAGTGCGATTCAAATGCTTTGTGGACGCCCTACGCTTCATAGTGGAGCAATAGGAACCCATCATCATCACACCAAAGTACTGTAATTGCAATGAATTGCAGTAAAGTTTAGCCAAATTGCAATGAAATGCAATGAGTAGAGGAGCCCTCACCCCTTGGTTATATGTGTATACTCACTTGGATGTGGCCAAAAGAAAGGTGATTGCTGTAAATTGAAAGCAATCGAATGAGGAAGCATTTTAACACGTCCAATAATGTGAATGGATTTGTTTCTAGTAAAGCCACCGGGAATATTAGCAATATAAGGAACTACGAATTTTACATCATCACGCAATGTTTCATCATAACTCAAAATATCTTGTGTTGGCACTTCGGGATATTTGTCACGATACAACTGATCTATTGCGACTTCTTTTATATCTCCTTTGACTTCAATTCCATTAATCTTCCTGAAAGGTACTCGATGAGCATATGATCCAAAATGTCTATTATTAATTGACAGCATAAATTCAGACTCAGTAATAAGGATTTCTATAGAGAATTTATGTCCTCTAAATAAGTCGTAATGTGATGAATATTGACTGCATGTCTCCTCAGTTCCCCATGAGCCTGGAATATCAAATTATTCTTATTAGATTCTTACTGTATGTTCGCTGGATCTTGTCAACAAATCACCATTTATCTTGGAATTCCTCACAATGTAGTTTTGGGGCAATCGTGGATTCAAATGAAGCGCAATATCTTGTTTATGTCCAGTACTCACTAAATTAATGGAAAATCTTTCGCAAGTCTTCAAAATTACGCCAGTAATTACAAAACAAACACCAGGAACAGCCTCTTTAAAGTTAAATGAGCAAACTACTTCAGATTTCTGGCTCAAATCTGGGCTTTTTGGCTTTAATAATCCGTAATTTGAGTTGCCAGCAATTTCACAAGAACTAATGGACTCAATTGACATGTTGGACATGATTATTTCACGGAAATTTAGGAAAGTCGATGAAAAACTCTGTGACCTATACAGATATACTGATAGCCTGTAAAAACCGATCAAACTACTACTAACAAGAACCGCAATTACTGACATTCAAGTGCCAAATACGATAATATTAATAAAATTGTGTAAATGAATAACTTTTGTTTATATTTTGTCAGGGCTGCTCAACTTGACATACACGACTTTGGAATTTATAGCAAAATTGTAGATAAGAGCTTGACACGTTCTCAACAAACAAGTGAACAATTTACAGTCAAGACACATTCCACTTGACTGAATTCTATAGCAAGTTGACAAAATTTGAATTTTTTTAATTCGTTAATTCGTTTCTTAAACGTCAAAATACTGTACAGCTTAATAGGTCATGTTTTGATTGATACTATTAGTATTCTCATGAATTATTGGATTAAGATATAAAGCAAAAATTTTTTTTTTGAAGAACATTCAAAAATGTCATGAAAAATATTATGCCCGATCGAATTTTGGGTTCATATTAATCATCATATGAATGACAGATTTAGAGAGATTTACTTTTAAACTTATGATTGATTTAATTTTGGAAATTTCCACAAGTAGAACGTTACATATTTCTTGACACCCCCCCCCCCCCCCCCCCCTTTATGTTACTTACATTTTGTTACAATTTTTCACCCCCGCACGTAAAATGCGAACTTAATAAGTGAACGGCCCCCAAATTAATTCGTTATCCAAAGTAATAACATGTGATCCTTCAGAAGTGAAGGCAGTTCCGTTCAATTGGTACAAATAAAATCTTATATCAATTTAACCGATTTGTAAGCTTTTGATCCACCTGAATTTTCTGTCTTCTATACATTACTGGGGGTCCTCGATTTGAGTACGTGATTTGTTCCAGAAAATCCTATTCAAATCGAATCTACTCAAATCAAATTTGTCAAAAAGGAATATTATTAATATGCTTGACATTTTTAATATATACCAACTGATTAATCAAATTTACGATAACGAGTTTCAATTTGTTCAAATAATCTATTATATTAAATTTAATCTTTGACTTAAAAATCTCAGAATTTCACTAATCATTGAACTGATGAAGCTCTTCTCGCTTCACCAATTAAATAATGCTCGTATATAATACGAGTTTAATAAAAACTTTAATTATACCATTTTCATGATTCATTGATTATAAATATTGAAGTCAAACGAGTCTCTCGCTAAAGTCAATCATAAATGTGAGAAGAAAAAGTGTTTTTTTTTTTAAATACTTCATTAAATTTAGAATTTTAAAGGAAGATTAAAAGATTACAAGCTCTAATACAATAATTTATTCTGTTATTGTTTTACAGATTTCGAAATTGCTTATCTTCAGATTTGCAAGGATTTATCAATAAATGGAAGAAGTAAGAGAAGAAAATTCAAGTAAAAAATGGAAAACTTAGGAAATTTCTTAATACTCGGACTTATAATTCAGACGATGGAGTGGCATGCATACAAAACAACTGCATCATCATTATTTTTATACAATGAAACACAAAAGTTGTTGATTAAGAATCAAAAAACTTCGAATTACGAATTTCCATTTAATTCAAGCTCTGAAAATTTTGATCAAAATTTATTAATTAAAGAAGTTTCAACATTGAAGTCATCAGGCGTTAGCGAATATCAAAATAATAATTTACTATCACGTGTAGTTAGGTCTACTTTAGGTAAAGAGACTTATTATAGTTGCGTTTCTAAAATTCACAGTGGAAATATTGAAAGTGCAGTTTCTTGTTTTCACGAATTAAATAATGACAATCTTCTCACTGATATTATTGAAAAGTCTTATGATTATCAAGATAAATATAGTTCCAATTTATACATGTATGAGCAGCCCTTTGACTACGTTAAGTTGCAATCTCTTGCCAATGACGACCATTTTATGAGATTAAAAATGGATGAAAATTTTTATAACATTGTGGAATTCATAAGAAAGCTTTCTAATTTAGAACAAGCTGCTGTTGCATATTCAAAACTCTACGAATGTATGAAATCAAATGGCAACTCAAACAGTTTAAAGCTACTCATTTTAGCTAAAATGGTTCATGAAACCATTAATATGCCAAATTTTATTAATATTTCGCAAAATAATAAAATTAGGCTTTTCAATTTGACAAATGTTTCAAATACTGTTATTACAAAATGGGCTGAGGATATACGTACTAAATATGTTGAGAAATTTTACAATGAAAACGATTTATTTGCTTTTGAACATAGAGAAACTTTCCTTTTTCACCTTCCTGATATCATTAAATCCGCATATTCAAATGATTTGAATATAATTTATAAAATTATAACTTTTATAAAAAGTTTACCTACAGTCAATGACTATAAAATAGGCTACACAGCATTGTATGAAAATATGAAAATTAATAATCATCTTAACGGCGTTGCACTACTTATGCTGTCCTATAGAATAGAGAGAACAATGGATTATATTGATAGACAACATAATTATCTAAACTATGGAAAATTGGAAGATATAAAAGAAAGTTTACCTTTTCATGTAAAGAGATTCGTTTGGAGTGATAGATATAGGTGCACTATTTATAATAATTATTACCGTGAACCTTTATATACTGCGAGTTTATGGCATCGTTTTTCAGTATATACTTGGGTTCCAAGTAATGTTGATCCTGACGCTTATTGGACGTTCGAAAATGCTGAACTTTTTAATTATTTTAAAATAACAAACTTGGATAAGAAAAGAAACTTAGTTGTTTCTAAAGACAGATTTGATTTAAGAGATGTATTGAAAATAAGAAAAGTGCATACACTCAATGAAAATGAATTCGAAGAAAGAGATGACGATTTTAAAACTGTTCAAGAATGGCAACTAATTCCAGAAGATGATTATTTTTTATTGAGTCCTTCAACAGGTGGTTATCTATATGCTGATGAAGATTTAGAAGATTCTAGTCGTCGGAAAGTACACATTTGGATGTCAGAAAATATTCCTGATTCAATAAAATTGAAAAGGAGGTGGAACGTATCGTGTTAATTCTTTATGAGATTGGGAAACCAGAACTAGAACTTTAAGAGTTATTTCTTCTTGTAAAGACTTTAAATATTGAAATTAAAATAAAATAAAAATTTTAAAGCTTCTTAATCTTAAAACAAACCTTTAAAAATTCCATCACTTCTGAACAAAGTCATAAAATTATTTCAACCTAGTCAGACTGTATAAACTTCTGATGATCATACTAAAATTGCTTTACAAACAAGCTTTTACTGGCTGAAGTGAATCCTTCAGTCAAGACACATTTTAAAGCAACTTGACTAGAATTTGATTTCATAACTTGAGTCAAATTTGATGCAACTTGACTAAAATTTGAACTTCAATAATTCGTTTTAATAAATCTGAGGGCAACTTTATTTCGATTCCATTCGAATTAATCCTACAAGATTATACATTAGCTTTAAAAAATGATGTAAGGCTTCATAAAAATACATGGAAACTTTAAACTGACATTAAATTAAATGCTTAGGTTGGGTAATATAGGAGGTACGTGAATTTATATCATGGTATTGTGCTTCTAGCTACTCAGCTTTCCTCTTCCTTCCTCGCCTCTCCGTCTGTCATTCTTCATAATTATTAAGAAACTCACCAACATGCTTCAAATTCTCTTCTAGCTGCTCTTCTGTCTCCCCACGGACTTCATTTACAATTTCTTTCTTATATGAGCTTTTGGCTTCGTCAAGTGCCATTTGAAATATCTCATACTCGACATTATTTTGGATTTTCTTTCCATTATATCCGCGCTCTTCAAGACGTTTAAACAGCTTGTCTGTATTGCATCGTACGACGTAAACTTGATGGAACCAACGTTCTGGGAAGAATTCTGATGAGTGATATTCAGCAACATTATTTCCCTCGTTCATTAATGGCTCTAAGTAATCGAGGAGCTATAATCAAACAAGATAAGACATGTTATTAAGACTGTTATCAATTTGTTCTTACAAATATTTGTGCCTACATACTTTATCTTCATCCAATATGGGGCAGTGTAAATCTTCGTCGTAGCCGTCAAAGAAGTTATTATCCTGAACAATTTTGCTAATTTCTAAGAATTTCATTCCATAATACTCGGATATCTGTTTGGCTAAATGTGTCTTGCCTGCACCTGTTAGATTTAAGTTGTAAATGTCAATTATTCTCCTGGATCTTACGAATTCTGTGACAATCTGATAGATTTTAAAGTCTATACTACTCACCTGGGGTTCCAGTAACTAAAATATTTGGTTTTGACATCGTTATGATTTATTAATCCCTATTAATTAAATTATCACGAGATTCCGATTAAAAATCTTTGTTGACGAAAATTATGTTACGTAAAAGTCGATTAAACTGTGTTTAAATTTATTTTGACGGTTTATATCTTGAAATTCTTTGTTGCCAGACGGCTCAAGGGTCTGAAGAAAAGATATAAGGTCCTAGTTTATATAGTCCTAGTTTACTGGCAATAATTATTCATAATTGCTGATTGCAGTGCAATTTTTAACAACAAATTTATAATGTTATCCAAAAACCAGCTATGCAAAGCAAGTGAATTTGAATAACTTTTGTCTGTTAGAGAATGCAAACTTATAAAATAACAGATTTTTTGCACTCATTTCTTGTTGAAAATTAGCACGTATATCCACTAAATACACGAAAGGAAACAACAAATTGTTTTTGTTACCTTAACCTTCTGTCTTAAACATGTATCATTTTCTTGAAACGCAGTTTACAAGTCAATAAATTCATGAAAGTACTTTCAACTTGACCCATCTAGCCTCGATTCATGATAGTAAAATCAACATTTATGTGTAATTCGTCTCGACAGTTCTCATGAAGAGAATTTACTTTAAATTTAATGAGCATTTCTAAATGAAATTTATAGTGGCTTTCTCTTAATGACTTTGAACTATATTTTTTAAATCTGATAATTTTCCATGTGACCCGCATTATATATCCGATAGATTCATTAGCAGCAAAGTCAAGGTCAATTTGGTATTAAGTCAGACACATGATGAGGAATATTGGCGTATAAAATTATTGACGCGTGCTTTTCTGTTCATCAACAAAATGAATAAGTTTGGTAAAACCAACAAAACCTGATATTCAAGTAATAATTTATGGATATGCAGTTCTGTACATTATCACACACTCTTGTAGGGTCATTTGAGATCAATATTTATAATATCGGGAAATTCAGTTCTCAATCAAAAGTGCATTATTTATAAATTTACAGCAGTCAAATGTAGCAAAAGATAGTGACAAGATTTATGAATTGTCAATAATGCTGACCTGCCTCATTACTCATCAATTAAAGACTTATTTATCAAGTAAACGACATTGTAAATTACGATAAATTTGAAATCATTTTTCTGATTCATGAAATTCTAAATGTTTCTAGGAACAACAGCACATGACTTGATGATAACCAAAATTTTAATTGTTAATGATAACAAACTTAAATGAAGATTTAATAAGACATAAATTCGAATTGTGCTAATTCAGTCAAGCAACAATTACCGTCAATTTAATTGATAAAAATCTATATTTGGAGCTCAGATGTGTAGTTCCTTCTTAATTGGTATAATTGAATAAATTAAGGCACTTATGTTTTGGTGACCAGAATGTATTTTAAAAGAAAAGTTTGTTCCTTATGGTTATTTCTGGTTCCTTAATAAAGACTCTGAAAAGGTTCCAAATAGGTTGTTGAAGATTAAACTGGTGATCCTTGTTTTAAGTAGAAGATTTCTGGAACCAAACAACAGAACAAATCAAGGATCTTCCTAGATATTGTATAGAATTGTTTTTAAGATGTTGATAAGGGAATTAAAATAGAGAATCCTCGACTCTAGCCCAAAATGATAGAAATTAAAATATATGATCAAAAACAGAAAACTTCCCAATTGTCTTTACTTCATTATTAATGAATCATCTTAAAGTATTATGCCGAAAACAAAATAAATTGGGAAATACAATTCTTCAAATCTCAAACTACAGCAAGGATTAAATCTTTTAAGAAATTTCCAAAAACTAATTGGATGATTCTTTGGAAGATTCCCTCAATCTATAAATTTCCCAAATTGATGAAGTTTGATCAACAACAATCAAATGATTTTAAAGCAGCTTCACGAATTTACGCAACACACTTGAAAAACTCGTCAGATTAAAAATTCCTCACCTCTTGAATAACTTTACGATATGATCCAGAATACGTATGAGATTAGATTAGGCAGCTCCAACTTGTAATTATGCAACTCTGATAAAATTTGTTTAATTACAAAAATAATTTATTTAATCCAGAATGATCACGTTTTGCGACTGACACTTGACATCACACAATAAATTTTAGGTCTGCATATTTATCGAAAAAAATATTATTTTTTTAACCAGAAAACATCCAATTTTTCAATGTTTCAATGCTGAATGCTGCAATGCTTTATCAGCTGTTCCAGAAATCCCCATTGATTCAATGTTTTTGTTTTCTGAGCGGCATTAAATTCTCTCTCAGCACTCGAGCATGCTTTAAAACTTTTTGTATAGTCTCGTTCGAGTAGTCTGACATGAAATCTCATTGTAGCCGGACGTAAACCTTTTTTTGTCGGTTAACATTCAGTCATCACATTATTGTATTTATCGCGCGGCTTTCGTCTCGCAGACTATTGAAATATTATTGAAAGTGTTTGTGTGAATATATTTTTATATAAATTATATGAATATTTAAAAACATCAGCAATAAACCTGTTTTTTTGTGTTGTGCTGTTTTAGTTCATCTTGTCATCTACACAGAGACTTTAATTAAATTACGCAAATAAAAAATCGGGATTTTTATTGAATTCTGGATTGAAATAAATAAAGTGGAATTGATTGTAGCTTTTCGCACATTTTGATTCTGAAAAGCTGGTGAAAGAAATCTACAAAATATAGCCTGAAGTGATTTTTATAATTGTGAATCAGATATTTTGAGAAAAAAAGAGACAAAGTTGTCATAATAACAGTCAAAGCAAAAGATATTAGCGATTTCCGTCATCAATAGTAAATTATTTTGTGTCACTTAAATGTATGTTTTAATGGACTTAATAGTGATGGATATTATTGTGAAAGTCAAAGACTTTTTAAGCGCATTTTTAGATTTGTTGCGATCAGTGAATTAATCTTGGATTATTTTTTTTTGTGGTTCTGGATATTTTGTGCTGAATTATCAAATTTGTTTTTATTTGTTCGGGGATATTTTTTTAATCTACTGCTATTTATGTTTTTGTGGTTGAACTGTGCGATAGAAGAAAATTAAAATTCGTGATAAATGTTATTTAAAAATAAACAAGTTTGGAGGATTTGAAAATTTCATTTTAATAATTTTATTAAATTTTTGAATTTCAACTTGAATTTTCATTTTTTAAGATTTAATTTTTCAATTTTTGGCTTATTTCATTTAATTTCTATATATTAATATTTTTGTACTTTTTTTTTAAATTTTCAATTTTTAAAATCAAATGTTAAAATTAAATTTGAAAATTGTAAGCTTATGAGCATTTGATTCTTACACGTTTTATTTAAAGATTTTTGAAATTTGTTGAAAAAATCAAGATTTTTGAAATTCAAAAATTTATTTTCAATGCCTCAAATCAGCATCAATGTTCATTATTATTTAAAACTTCATCTTCATTTTAATTTTTCAAACCATACAATAAAAAAAATCTTTTTTTTTTGAGTTTCAATCATAATCACTCAAAATTTTAAATTTTTGTGAATATATTTTAATAATTTCAGTTTTACAAACGTTTCAAATTCTTCCAATTTCTGTTTGTCGTGCTTTATTAAACTTTAATTTACTTTGAAATCAGTTTATAGTCATTAATGTGAATTTGAAGAAATTAAACATTGAAATAAAAAGAGAAAAATAAAAGTTTAACAAAGAAGTCTTAGACTATTTAAAACAAATCAGGGATATTTCGGATTAAAATAATTGTTGTGTTTTAACATGTTTAAGCTAGTCAAAACCAGTTAATACGTTTGATAAGTTATTAATATATGATATTTAAAACTTACTTCTGTTTTGTTTTGAAAATTTAACCATTTATCCAGAGTTTAAAAACAGACATTTGCAAATGCAATAAAAGCATTTCTTTTTAAACTGCATATTTAGACAGCAAGTCATAATATCAATTCAAAAAACAGTCAAAACTTAAGAACTTAAAACATTTCTATAAATTCTCATCCAGTCAGCAAAAGTGATCGCAATAAAATCCAAAAAAGTGCGCTAAAGAAAGTCATTAAAATATTAATTTAAAATCGCAAAATTTTTCCAGATAGCTGAGTCAGCAGTAGTAAAGTAATAAAAAGGAAGGGAAATAGTGTTGTGAAGACAAAATTGCACTCATCCTCAATAATATCACGTAAAGTGTAAAGAAAATAAATGATTTTGAGAGTAGTTCCAGTTCTGTTCTGTAATTGATTTCCGAAATCATAAAAATTACCGCAAAAAAGAAAGAAGTGAAAAAAAAATTGTTGCAAAGTGCTTCAGAGATTTATTTCTTTTGGGAACAAAAAGTTACATTGTGAATCGGATAGATCCAGTAAATGGAGAAAAAGTAATTAAATTACTAACAAGTGACAGAAGAAAGATAAAAACTTTTATTTTGTTTCGTGCTTCATCGCTCAATCACAAAAGACAATTGGATTTTATTCGTACTCGTGCTGCCCCACATTAACGCCCAAAATACATCCAGCAAAAGTTTTTTCATCACTTATTATTCACAAGGTGAGTTATTCTCAATTACAATGTTGTTTTTGTTGCTTTTCTTCTATTTTTCCGATTTATAACCCGAGTGGCACATTGGTGTGATGTGTCAGTCATGCGGTTGACTTGTGTATGTCTCAGTCAATAGGCAGTTATATGACAGTATTGTGACAGGTTTTTAATAATCACATAACCGTTGTGTGACATTCGTATGACAGATATGTGACAGTTGTCTAGTAATCACGTAACAGTTGTGTGACAATCATGCAACAGTTGTGTGACAGTCACACAACAGTGGCACGGATACTATATATACTTCAAATAATGCTTAAATAAACCCCATGTGACAGTTGTCTGTAATACATGCAACATTTGCCAGACAACCATATGACAGTCATATTTTAATTGCATTAGAAACCAAGCTACAATGTAACAACTTTTCAAAACTAGTGTCTCTCGGGTACGAATCCAATTTATTCAATTAACATCAATTTAGCAATATATCTTGATGACGATTTTGATGATGATAAAATCGCATAATTTATCTTAATATAAACGACGATCTCATTTCTTCTAAAGCATGAAATTACTTGATAATTCAATGCTATTCATAAGCATCGAATTGCTTTACAATTTTGTGAAAATCGAGCTAATAATATTCAAAACATGACCTGCAAAAAGTAGTTTTTAATTGTAATTCAATATCCGTGTGCAAATCACGGCTTTCAAATTCACTATGCGCGCACATTGTGCAATCTTTGTTATTATCACAAAAAACCGTGTGAAATACGTGGCTACTAAGCAATAAGGAAAATAAATCAGTTGGATTATCAAATACAGTAGTAAGTCGTGTGCGACTAACGATTTTTGATGAATTTATTAAAAATGAAGCAGTTGGTAGCAATTTATTCGGTCAATTCCATAATTCTTCATTCAACAGTTAATAACTCCAAACCTAGTATCAAATTGTCTAATAAAAAGTGCTTTGCCGGTCTCTAGATCAATTTAAACCTGCACGCAATTTTCTCATCAAGAGAAATTTATTATTTTTGCCAAGAAAAAAAACCAAAACCGAATCAATTTATTATCCGGAGAAAGCCAGCATCAATTGTCTGTCTATTAAAAGAATTATCTCCCTAAATGCTTCTCTTATAGCTGCTTAATTTTCAATGATGAAAGTATGGCAAGAAATCACATCAATTATTCGCGTAAAAAGCATTTCATTTTCCTCATTGTACATAATTTTTCTCTGTCTGTAGCTTTTTTTTAAAAATGGTAAAATTTCCAACTGTTAAAATTGCTCTAATTGCGAAACTCTTTCCGGCATAAATTTTCAACTATTCCATATACAGTGTGTGTACACAACTAAAGCTACAACAATATTTTGAGCTAACTGATATGTTGCTGGGTTTTTGCGCGTTTTCAACGGAAAAGTTTATATACACAGACAGTGATTGCAAAAAGCAGCTTGTTTTCATTATGAAAAAAGTTTTTTTAAAAACAAGTAATTGAAATTTAATTTTGGAAACTGTTTCTTTAATTTTCCTTAAATGTCTTGCGGACTTAACAATGTTATCTGATTTCTGCAACAATGTTTGTTGCCAAAAAGTAAAAGTTCAATTATCAGTTATTTTATTGCATTAAAGTTCTAACGGATTTTTAAAAATTTGAATTAATACTACGCCATTTTGAATTTTTTCTCCATCTCGAGTTTTATTTCACTAATTTTTCACCGTCAATCCTCATTTAAAGTCATAAAAAGTGCATTACGAACAATAAAAATATGGCAAAATTCATTTGCAGAACATTTTAACTTTTATTGACCTCTAAAATGTGAATTATGATTGAAATATTCTTTCCATCCATTTACTCAGTCAACCAAAACACATTTGTTTCGCAAGAAATGAGCCAAAAAGTGCAATGAAAATCCGACAGAATTGCTTTAAAAAAATTACACAAAAACTACTCGCTTTCATGGCAAACTCAAAAAAATGTATTTTGCAACATATCGTCAGCGCTTCTTCTTCTTACGACTTTGCTTTTAATTTTATTTCTCTTTTCTTTCTTGTGCTTCTGTTCATGGCACAACAAACGACAACGTAACCTTGTTGATGAGTCACTTTTATAGCATTTCAACTCAACCAAGGTTTATGGACGATTGTTATTTTCTCTTAGTTTTTTTTTCTGTGTGATTTAAGCAATTTTTTACGCAAAAATAAGCTCATTTTAAGACTTGTGTACTTTTTTTCTATGTTACTTTATTTTCAACGTAATTAAATTTTTATGTTGTAGCTTACTTGCTACTTTTATTTTATTTTCCATGCAATTGTTTGTCGCTTTTTTGTGTGTTCTGCTTTAATATAAATTTCATTCTGCTTAAATTAATGAGAGCATGTTTTTAGCAGAAGAGGAGCAGATAGCGTATGTTGTGGAAGTAAATTCTATGAATTTTAATTATTTTGCTGTAATCATGTTATGTCTTCAGGGAAAGGGTTTCTTGGTTTTACACAAGATTATGTCAACTATAAGCTCGGTAGATGTGGCTCTTCTGCTAAGGGATCTGGTTCCTTAGTAATTGGATACTACTTGAATGTAAACTTAACCGTCAAAGGTTCGATACTCACGTTATCAAATGCTATAACCAGATATGTCTATGATTTAATGGTTTAGAATCTCATAAATCTAAATCTGTGTGCTTAGTTCTGGCAAGCCAACATTTATCGACCTATCATTGCCAAAAAACCATGCTTCAGTACAGCCATCTTTGTAAACCCAAGAAAGTGTATCCCCAGCATTGAAAGTGTAGTCAATTCTTTAAATAGCTATTCAACCGTGCATTTATCGACTTGCTTTTTCATCGCTGGAATAATTACTTAACCGGTCATATTTCCGGCTGTGCAATTTTACAGCTTATTGTTTTTCCGGCTGCACGTATGAATGACTTTTTTCATTCCAGTATGTTGAATAGTAAATCAAACCAAAGACTCATAAATTCAAAGCCTAAAAGTTTTACAATTAAGTCCATTCTACATTAAGATCTTTATTTCTATAACAAAGTCAACTGCGTTTCCAAACCCTCAAAAAATATTTTGTCGTATATCCTTATTCAACGAGGGAGCAAGCATGAAGTAAAAAGCGAAAAAAAATATAAATTTTTTTGGAGGGCTTCATAGCTGTTTTTTTTCTATGAAACATAAATAAAATGGTCTAGTATGCTGAATGATATGAAACAATGAATGAATGTATAGCATAGCGAAAACTGTTCGCATAACAAGAAGTCTACAATAGCATCGCGAGCTATTCTAATTAATGCTTCCCTGTTTTTCAAATTTATTTATTGTGCCTTGCGGGCTACGACATTCACCCCTCCTCCTCCTATGCCTTCATCTGTAAATAAATGAAAACATATTGTTTTAGCACTGCCGCTTGCCATAATAATTTTCTTCTCATTCTTTCGCTCTCTTTTTTTTAGAGGTTTTTTTGACTTTAATATAATTTTTCGCTTCGTATTTTGCGGTTGATTCATTATTGTCTTACTTCTATGCTGTTGTTTTCGGCTGGAAAATTGCGTAAAAAATTGCTACGTCTTTGTACTTAAGCAGCAATCTCTTTAAGAGAAATATCTTTTTGCGGCAATGTTTTAATTGCGAAAAAAAATTGGTAAAATTAGTCACAAGAAATGAGGGAATTTACCGTAAGAAGAGAAATGTAATTAAACTTAAATTTTTTTCCAGATAGTCTTTTTCTACGGAAATACCACATTGCATTAAATCAGGCTTTTGTGATAACAGAAGTGATTTTCTCATTGTTGTACATCTGGTTGAATTTTGAGGCGTATTTTTGGCAATTCTATGGGAAATTTTAGTGAATTGTCTAATTAATTGGAAAGATTTACATCTTGAATGTCTTATTTGCACTGGACATGCTGCTTAAAGACCACAATTAAGTCGTTAAGTTTGAAAAGAATTTTGAATTTTGAAAATATTTTAGAAGATATTTTTTTTATGAATTTTAATTTCCTGTACACAATTGAGATGTGTTTGAAAATTCTAAGGTTTGCTGACCTTTACTATCTCCAATTTTGTATTATTTTGTCAAATAGAAATTCATGATTTTTACTATTGATACCAAAAGTTTACGGTTATTTTCAGTTATTTTGTAATTTCTTGAAATCAATAATCAGAAGTAGATTAATATGTAATACATAAAGATCTGTTTGTAGGTAAATCTGCTAGTATAATAGAGTAGCTTTAGCTGAGTTATCAGTATGGTTGAACAGAACTGTAATAACCCTAGTCAAAAGTACAAAGGCCAAAAATCTTCAAATCTTCTACTTTGCGTTGGTGGTGTGTGTTCAATTCCCATCATCCTCTAATTCAAACATAATTTTTGTCCATTTGGCACGAACTAGAAACAATGCTCAATACATTATAAACCTGGATAGCACAAGTCGGTTAATCCCAATGTTAGCAAAGAACAGAGTCCGTTACAAACAAAAAAATTTCAAAATTTTCGCGCGGTATTTTTTTAAAATTTCAAAATAAGAAAGTCCGTTCGTTTTTATTTTTTTTAAGCTTGCTGTTTTTTAAAGCATAAACATTTAAGGAATGCAATTTAATCACAGTGATTATCTTAATTATAAAAACTAAAATTACAAATTACTCGAAAAATAATAATTCACAACGAATTATTTTAAAAATAAGAACTTCGAAGATTCGATTTTCGAAAAATAAGAACCTCAAAAATTCGAAGTTCGAATAATAAGAACTCAAAAATTTCTGTTTGCTAGCATTGGGGTTAATCGATCAGAAATCTTACACCAAGTCAGCATGGATTTGATTTCTGATAGATTTACCAAATTGACTTTCCGGGTTACAGCTAAGTTTGAGAGTATCAGTACAAACTTAAGTATCAGCAAAGCTTACTTTTGATTATGAATGCTGTGAACCTTATTAATAGTCACAATAATTTTCAAATAATTAAAATTATCTTATATTGCCTGAAAACATTGCTCTAGTCGG